TGCAATGACCAATTTATAACAAGCTGAAATTGAATACTGAATATACTGATAAATGGTCAATGCAGAGAGTCTGACTGAACTGTGGGAGCTACTAATAACCGATAATAAAACCACATGAGCTAAATGTGGAATACGATGTATACACCCCTTCGAGAGGACCCAATATACCCTGCCTAAGGTATAAAGGCATGTTTGCGTGATTACTAAACTGATTGCCCAAAGAGGAAACTTACTACCTACTTGGATAGTAGTTCTTGGACTATTAGGTTAGCTAAACCCGTCCAACTCGGTATTATGCTACTACCAATGAATTATGTAAATAAACTGATTAATCTGATTTTTTGTAAATACTGGATAGCTTGAAACTGAACATGCAAACTAAGAATACAATAATTAATATGGCAATTATGCATTTATAACTGAGGCATGCATATCTGAAGTGTCTGAAATATATGACCTAGCATGTGTAATTCAAGAACTAAAGAAATACAAATTTAGGGTTCTGAAATTCATGTGATAATCTTAGTAATAACATGACAATCTGATTTGAAACATATATTTAATAAACATGAAGTTATATCCAAGTTCAAGAAACCCTAGGTTTAATCATGACATGGGAATCAAGAATCTGACTGAAAACTAGGGGCCCAATGGGTGAAAGGAACCCACTAGTGAAATCCCACATATTTGGTGATGAAATCCACAGAAAAATACTTAAGTTTTGGGGCTGGAACTTCTGGAGCTTGTGGCTATCTTGAACTAGGGTTCTTGAGCTTTAATCTCCTCTCTTGCTTCTAATTTTCTAAGTTTTGATTTAATGATTTGACTTGGATATGTTTTAATTATGTTTCTAGGCTCAAAATCACTAAAATATGATGATTTAGCAAAATGACGTAACTTAGGGTTTAAACAGAGTGGGAAAGGTCAAAAATACCCCTGGGAAGGTTATTGTCGGGCCTCATGATAGCCAGGACTGACGGACCGTCATGCGCCCGACGCCCCGTCATTGGGTCCGTCTTGAGGGCCTGTTCGACAGCCCTTTACTAAAATGGGCATAAATTTTTACTCGGAGGTTTGATTTTAGTAAGGTCGGTGTCTATGGAAATATAATCCAATTATCTATTTTTGGGTAGGTCATGGAGACCTAATTCATTTTGTGCTAATAGTTATGATCATTTAAAGTTGACCCAACTACATTTCCCCTTAAGTGGCTGCAAATTTTCCACCTACTGACCATAGGTCCACCTAAGAACCATGTTGGTCATCCATAGCTCTTGTCAGAGAGTGGTTGAAGGGAGTCTTGATCGACAGTCACGGACTACGGACCGTAGTTTGACCTACGGACAGTAAGTCCCTCTATCGTCCAAGACTTAACCAATTTTTCTAGGCTGAAATTTTTAAAGTTTATGATCCCATCGATGGTTGTGAGGGATGGACCGTGGTTCAGGCTACAGTCCGTCGATGCCACCATTGGTAGAACCTGCAGATCTTTATGAAAAACTAACTTTCGCTCTATTTTGGCTACAGGGTGTTACAAACTTAGTAAAAAATATAGACTCACCCATAACAAAAAAATTAAGCTCTTTCTAATGATAATATCAAAGGAGAACCCTACCCACTCAAAAGGAAAGGAAAACTTCCATAGTACTTCAATGAAATTGAAAATAACACCCTACCCACTCAAAAGGAAAGGAGAAATATCACAGTAGTTCAATGGAATCGAAATTAAAACCCTAACCACTCAAAAGGAAAGGAACGTCCACCCTACTTCAATGGAATTGAAATTAAAACCTTTGTCAAATTAAAATTTCAAAGGAGAAAATTGACATACCTTTTCCAAATCTCTTTGAGAGAAACATACGAATAAACTCAGCTGGTGAGCTCTCTGAGAGAAACGCCAACCTCCCGTGGTGAGCTCTTTAACAGAAACATGACTTTTCTTTTCCTATTAAAGATAGACTATTGCTCCTATTTGCTAGACAAATAAAAGAGAGGCTAAATATTTTTATATGCTAGACAAAAAAATGAAATTATAAGAATTATGCTAGACCAAATATAAAATTAACTTTAAACAAAAAATAATCATAACATGGTCGACTGTAGTAGTCGGCCATATGATAATATTTTTGAAATTATTGAATAATTTTTCGACTACCGCAATCGATAACCAATCAATTATCTTATTGACTATATTTTGCAAAACATTATGATTTGAATAGTCAAAATAATAAAAAATATATATTATAAATCCTAATTTGCCGATTACAGTAGTTAGAAAAATATCTAGAATACCGACTGTATATTTGTAGTCGGTAATTGTAGTTAGAAAATAGCTTATTTCTAGTAGTGCACCCTTTCTAAGCTAATTGTGTTCTTAATTTACTTGTGGACGGTGAAAAGTTTAATTTGGGTGTTGATGAGTGGTATATTTGCACTCATTTGAGGTATATTTAGTTCAAAAATTACTGTCCTCAATGCTTAATTATGTCTTATTCTAATGATATTTTTGATGATTTGCAGTTATGAAGGCTAAAAATGTATAAGAGTGCAAACTTTATACAGATGATCGCCAAACAATAAAGATAGATCGCTTAGTGAGCATGACCTCGTCCAAAGTGATAGTTCACAAAACTTCTATTTATTGAGGCAGGTCGGCAAACTCCAAACAGAAAGGCAAATCACCAAATGAAAAAGGGTGAACATGTTGACCCTATCTGAAGGCGACAATACAAGGAGAAAAATTAAAGGCTTGGAAAGCAAACTAAGGTTGTAATCCTCAATACGCCGATTGTAAAAGGAATATTCTATTGAACTTGCCACCCAATGTTCAAACACCTGAAGCCTAGAAGAAGAAAATGTGAACTAGAGAGTAAATGGTGATTCGCTCATTGTGATCGGCGAGCCCAACTAATGTCACCTATTCGGTAGCATATTGCGTTTTGCAAATTTTGGAAAATTAGAAATAGCCCAAAGAAGATAGAATGATGATAAGACATGTGAGTTGCACTACAGTTTGGCGTATGAACAAGTGAAGGGAGAAAAACACTTTACCTTGTGAAGAACACATCTAGTTTATGGGGGTTTTCAACTTTGTTGTTGAAATTGAAAAATTGAAGTTAAATTGAAAGTGGTTTTTCTTCTAATTTCTTAATTTCATGCTACCCGTGATTGCTTTCATTAAAGGTATAATTTCTTTGTCGTTTGTGATGGGTAGCTAAAACTCCAAGATTTAGGGGTGCAATTATAGGGTTGGGTGCTGATTTAATGTAGTGGGTACTGTGTTATCCTGTATCAAATTGTTGTTCATACATGAATTTTGACTAATTAGCATGAGGTTAATTTGTGGGTTAAGGTTGCAAACTTAATTTCTATTTTTGATCTTCGATCGATGCTCGAAAGAGATTGATTAGAGTGGGTAATTGGTCTGATACTAGCAATTCAGGTTTGATGTTTGTAACTTGCTTGAGATAGATGTTATGGGTAGGAATATTCAACTATTTTTAATCCAAAGGGAAAACAAAGTAATTTAATAGGGTGTCGAGTATAGTACTCGGTCTATTCATAAACATTCATCACTATAGAGCAACACAAAATTACTCCTGTGTGACATTGATTTCCAATACCCGCACCCCTATATTGCTTGTTACTTCTTGAATTTCCTGAATTTTTAGTTCAATTGTGATTATTGATAACTAACTTCATTTATTAAATTTGTGGAATCGTCCACCCACTTTTTTTACTACCACAAATGAATGATTTTAGAATTCAAATTTCTTGATAGAATTTTCTATGATACACTCTTCTTTGTGGCATTCGATCCCAACATGTAATGACCCGAAAGGTCATTTTTAAAAATTTGATTATTTATTTAATGTGACTTAATTAATTGTTAGGTGATTGGAGATAAATAACTTAATTGATACTTAATTGGATAACATGATCAATTATTTAAGACCTTATACCATAAGGGACATGTATTAAATATAAGTTAGTGAATTTTGTGGGTTCCAGTAAACAGTTTTTTAATAATAAAAAAATAAGAGTCAGAAAACATAAATGAAAAAGGGAGAGAAATAATGTAACCTAGCGCAGCATCGATCAAAGAGGAAAAAATTTACAGATACTCGTCGGCCATCTTCAGTTCTTGGTAGGCATGCATTAATTACTTTATATAAAAATGATTTAGTTGGTATAAGATAGCGCTATGGTTATTATTATTAATTGTTACCTAATTTTTAGTTATTAAGATGTGATGATTGGCAATGATTGCCATTGGAAAACAATAACGGATGGACAATACTAGAATATAGAGAATGTTTAACTGTTGGTTAATATTGTTAATTTATTAAGAGTTGGATGAGAATTTTGGATTATTATATTATGGTTTAAGTTTTTCTATATTGGTATGTATATTTAAATATTATAGAAATATTATTTTGTCAATATCATTCAAATTATGGTATTGTAAAGGAAATAATTGGAATTGAATCCTAGGCTTGAATCTTGGAAAACTATGGTAAGTGAAATGTTACTTGACATCAAGAATTATAAACTTGATTATAAATTTGGTGAATTTTTAGGTCAAGGTTAAACATATAAAATATGGGTGTTGTTAGTTCCGAAACCTTATTGTTAATATATATACTTGGATAGATTGTATCGATTTGGAAACTCAACGAAAAGGGAAGGCTCAAGTCCAGAGTGAATGTTCGAGTGGCTAAGGCAAGTGAGTTTCTAAACCTTGTTAAGCGTATGAAATTCGTGTATTTCCTTTTGTGATTTTGAGAATGATTTGGAGGCTTATTGCTTATTTGTTGGTGTTGTATTACGTCTCTAGTTATCAAAATAGCTATCTCCTCATTTTTATTTGAGCATATCATTTGCATTGATATAAGACATGGCTGTGATAAATGTTATATGATAAGAGTACGTACCATTTTGAGGGATGTATAGTGCACCGCGATGGATATTTCATTTCGAGAGACGTATCGTGCGCCGCAATGGTTATTACCAAGGATCGTATCGCATGCCGTGATGGATGCATGAACAGATATGTCCTTCATGGGTCCCAGACTGAGAGAAAGCAGGTGTGTATCATTAGGGAAGACATGCATCACTATACTTGACATTGCATCTCATGGCATTACACATTTTTATTATTAATAAACTTAAACTCGTGTTTTGCTGATCTTGTGAGTTTTATTCTATGAAACTGATGACTGTTGAATATTGAGTTGTTATTGAGAATATGTAATATGATAGAGTGTTGTTGTTGAGTTGTGTGCTTAGTAAACTGTGAATTATTAGGTTGTAGTGTGAAAATTCAAATAGGGTATAAGGAGTATCCGTATTTTGTTCCCTTAACTTGTGTTTAGAGGTTCGCTTATTGGGTACCGCGTCGTTTGGTACTCACCCGTTTCTCTTACAAATATTTGTAGGTTACGAGCCCGGATGTTCGTGATACCTTCCATTCTCTTCATTTCTGAGGCATTTTGTGGAGAATTGTGAGCGACCTTCCTACTCCAGTTTATGACTTTGTTTTTACTTGAAAGAAAACTTAATTTTAGACTTGCGTGTTTTATTTCAATTCTAGTATTTACATTAGAGGCTTGTGTACGTGACAACCTGGTGTCGGGGATTGTATTAAGTTGAATTTTTTTCATAATAGAAACTTTTATTGGACTTTTGTGTATTTCTGCACTTTGTTAGATGTTGGATTTAGGATGACTTGTCTCGACGCAATAAGACGAGTGTCATCACACCCATTTTTGGGTCGTGATGTTGGATATTATTTTATTGACGACGATTGATGTATATTTTAATTGGTTTTGAAGATTACATTTGAGCGTTATCAAGGTCCCACCGATGAATTCAAGCATACATCAATGGTATCATGTCAACATATAGATATAGTGTGATATACAGTATCATGGATGCCTCACTAAAGGACTAAAGGATCGATGCATAAAGATATAGAGGGTGTTTGTCTTATTTAGCTTTTATTTGGGATACTAGTGTTGAACCACCTCCCATGGACTCTATTCCCGTGGTTCATGAGTTTCCCAATGTATATCCTTCTGATCTTCCAAGTGTTCCTCCCGGTAGGGATATAAATTTTGCTGTTGATTTGGAGCAAAGCACCAAGCCAATTTCTATCCCTCCCTAATATTGCTTCGACAGAGTTGAAAGAGTTGAAGGATCAGTTGCAGGATTTATTGAGGAAGGGTTTTATTCACCCTAGTGTATCAACTTGGGGTGCCCTTGTATTATTTTTGAAGAAGAAGGATAAGGGTATGAGGATGTGTATTGATTATAGACTGTTGAACAAGGTAACAGTGAAGAATAAGTATCCTCTTCCGCGTATTGATGACTTATTTGATCAGCTACAGGGAGAACCATTGTTCTCTAATATTGATTTGAGGTCCGGGTATCATCAGTTGAAGATTAGGGCATCACATATCCCTAAGACCACTTTTCTGACCCGGTATGGGAATTATGAGTTCCTAGTGATATCCTTCGGATTGACTAATGCCCCTGCAATATTCATGGAGTTGATGAATGGGGTGTTTTGACCATACCTTGATTCTTTTGTGATTATTTTCATCGATGACATCTTGGTTTACTCCAAGACTGAGAAGGACCATGTCCGACACTTGAGGATTGTACTTCAGAAGTTGAAAGAAGAAAAGTTGTACGCCAAGTTCTCAAAGTGTGAGTTTTAGCTTAGTTGTGTGGCATTCTTAGGATACGTGGTGCCCAAGGAGGGTATTGGAGTAGATCCTTCCAAGATTGAGTCAGCTAGAGGATGGACGCGATCCACTTCTCCTACCGAGATTCAGAGTTTTGTAGGATTGGCAAGTTATTACCGATCATTTGTTAAGAGTTTTTCTACTATTGCAGCTCTACTGACTAGATTGACTCGTCAGGGTGTGGGTTTTCAGTGGTCTGATAAGTGTGAGGAGAGCTTTTAAAAGCTCAAGACTTTGTTGACTTCGAGTCCGATGTTGACTCTACCTGAGGATGGTGTAGACTTTATTGTGTATTCTGATGCTTCAGGAGTTGTTTAAAGTGGCGTATTGATGCAGAAGGGGAAGGTGATTGCTTATGCTTCTAGGCAGTTGAAGTCTCATGAGAAGAAATACCCTACTCATGATTTGGAGTTGGCGGTTGTGGTATCTGTACTTAAGTTATGGCGTCATTATTTGTATGGGGTGCACTGTGAGATTTTCACTGATCATCGGAGTCTTCAGTACATCTTTAGTCAAAGGGATTTGAACTTGAGGCGGCGGAGGTGGCTTGAGATGTTGAAGGACTATGATGTGACTATTCTGTATCATATGGGGAAGGCCAATATTGTGGAAGATGCTTTGAGTAGGAAGACTCATAGCATGGGGAGTCTTTCAACTCTTAGTATAGTATTTAGGAGAGACCATTGGCTAGAGATATTCAGAAGTTAGCTAACATTCTTGTCTGATTGCAGATTTCAGAGGAAAGTGACGAGATGATTGCTTTTATTGAGGTTCGATATTCTTTAGTCGAGCAGATCTGTGCGCACCAATTTGATGATAAGAAGTTATGTCTCATTCGAGACAAAGTATTGAGAGGGGAAGCCAAGGAGGTTGTCCTTGATTCTGATGGTGCCTTGAGGATCAAAGGCAAGATTTGTGTGCCCAAGACGGGGGAGTTGATAAGATTGCCTCTTGAAGAGGATCATTGTTCTCGATATTCCATCCATCCAGAAGCGGCAAAGATGTATCATGATCTGAGTCAGCATTACTGGTGGTGTGGGATGAAGAGAGATATTTCAGACTTTGTTTCGAGGTGTTGGACTTGTCAGAAGGTGAAGTGTGAGCACCAGCGGTCGGGGGGTGTATCTCAGAGGATACCTATTCCTACTTGGATGTGGGAATGGATTACTATGGACTTTGTTGTAGGTTTTCCTCCCAGAGTGGGTGGTTATGAATCTATTTGGATTATTTTTGATAGGTTGACAAAGTCTGCCCACTTCATTCCAGTTTGGGTCAAGTATACGGCATAGAAGTTAGTCGAGCTATATATCAGTTAGATTATGCGACTTCATCAGGTTCCTATATCTATTATATCATATCGAGGTTCAATATTCACTTCCCACTTTTGGAAGGCATTACAGCATGGTCTGGGTACGTAGTTGGATATGAGTACAACTTTTCACCCTTAGACAAATGGTCAGTCTGAGCGGACGATTCAAGTTTTGGAGGACATGCTTCGGGCATGTGTGATCGATTTTTGTGCTAGATGGGATCGACATTTATCCTAAGCACAGTTTACCTATAATAACAGTTATCACTCTAGTATTCAGATGGTTCCATTTGAGTCGTTGTATGGTAGACGATGTAGGTCTCCGATAGGTTGGTTTGATTCGACAAAGATGGACTCATTGGATACAGACTTTCTTAGAGATGTTATGGAGAAAGTTCGTAGATTCAGTATAGACTATTGACAGCCCAGAGTTGACAGAAGAGTTATGCCGACCGAAGAGTTAGAGCCTTAGTATTTATGGAGGGTGATCATATTTGAATGTGAGTATCACCCATGAAGGTTATGATGATGTTCAGAAAGTAGGGCATACTAAGCCCTAGACTCATTTGACCTTTTGATACTTTAAGCGGAGTGGGAGATGTGGCTTATAAGTTGACCTTGCCACCTAGTTTGTCGGCAGTTCTTCCTATTTTATGTGTCTCGATGCTTTGAAAGTATATCCTGGATGAATCTCATATGATTTCACTTAGTTATATGGAGTTGGGTCAAGACTTGACATTTTAGAAGGAGCCCATAGCAATACTATATAGGAAGGTTCGGATGCTTAGGACCAAGGAGATTACTTTAGTGAAGGTGCAGTGGAAGCACCGATTACTGGGAGAGGCAACTTGAGAGGCAGCGTCTGATATGTGTGCCAAATATTCTCGACTTTTTGAAGCTTCAAGTACTTTCCTTCACTTAATGTTCGAGGACAAACATAATTTTAAGTGGTGGATAATGTAATTACCCGGAAGGTCAATCGTTTAACATGAATTAATTAATTGTTGGGTCATTGGAGATGAATGACTTAATCGATAGTTAGTGGGCTCAAGTGATCAATTATTTAAGACCCTATACCATTAGGGACATGTATTAAATATAAGTTAGTGGATTTTGTGGGTTCTAATAAACAATTGATTTTTTTATAATAAAAAAATAAGAGTCAGGAAACAGAAATGAAAAAGGGAGAGGAATAATGTAACCTAGCGTAGCATCGATCAAAGAGGAAAAATTTGCAAATACTTGTCGGCCATCTTCACTTCTTTGTAGGCATGCATTAATTACTTTATATAAAAATGATTTAGTTGGTATAAGATAGCACTGTGGTTATTATTATTAATTGTTACCTAATTTGTAGTTACTAAGATGTGATGATTGGCAATGATTGACATTGGAAACAATAATGGATGGATAATACTAGAATATAGAGAATGTTTAACTGTTGGTTAATATTGTTAAATTATTAAGAGTTAAATGAGAATTAAAGTGTATTGTTGTATGTTTGCTAAGGGAATCGTGATTGTATTTTGGCATAAGGCCACATTAGGGGTCAATGTATATTGCTAAATTGTGGGCTAATGATTGGTCCTTAATGAGCCAACCATTGGTGGACCAATGATTTGCTTATCATTGGTGGGTAGGAAAGGAGTTGAAAAGAAGAAAAAATCAAAACACAATTATGCAATGTTAGTGTGAATCGAGTTGGGTGTAATTTTCATAAATTTTGGGTTATTATATTATGGTTCAAGTATTGATATATTGGTATGTATATTTAAATATTAGATAAATATTATTTTGTGAATATCATTCGAATTATGGTATTGTAAAGGAAATAATTGGAATTCATTCCTAGGCTTGAAACTTGGAAAACTATGATAGTTGAAATGTTAATTAACATCAAGAATTACAAACTTAATTATAAATTTGGGTGAATTTTTAGGTCAAGGTTAAACACATAAAATGTGGGTGTTGTTAGTTTCGAAACCTTATTGTGAATATATATACTTGGATAGATTGCATCTATTTGGAAGCTCAACGAAAAGGGAAGACTCAAGTTCCAGAGTGATTATTCGAGTGGCTAAGGCAAGTGAATTTCTAAACCCTTGTTAAGCGTATGAAATTCGTGTATTTCCTTGTGTGATGTCTGAGAATGATTTGGAGTCTTATTTCTTGTTTGTTGGTGTTGTATTACCTGTCTTGTTATCAAAATGGTTATCTCCTCATTTTTATTTGAGCATGTCATTTGCATTGATCTGAAACATGGTTGTGATAAGTGTTATGTGATAAGAGGATGTACCATTTCGAGGATCATATCGGCGTCGTGATGGATATTTTATTTCGAGGTACATATCGTGCGTCGCGATGATTACTATTATCGAGGATCATATCGCACGTCGTGGTGGATGCATGGACAGATATGTCCCCCGTGAGTCCCTGACTGAGAGAAAGCGAGTGTGTATCATTAGGGAAGAGATGCATCAGTATACTTGACATTGCATCTCATGACAATACACATTTTTGTTATTGATGAACATAAACTCGTGTTTTGCTGATCTTGTGAGTGTTTTTATGTGAAACTGGTGACTGTTGAATATTGAGTTGTTATTGAGAATATGTAATCTGATAGAGTGTTGTTGTTGAGTTGTGTGTCTGGTAAACTGTGAACTGTTAAGTTGTAGTGTGGACGTTCAGATAGGGTGTAAGGAGTACCCGTAGTTTGTTTCCTTAACTTGTGTTTAGAGGTTTGCTTGTTGCGTACCGCGTGATTTGGTACTCACCCTTTGCTTTTACAAATTTTTGTAGGTTACGAGTTCGGATCTTTGTGATACCTTCCATTCTCTTCATTCCGAGGCATCTTGTGGAGAATTTTGAGGTAGTTGTTTGTCACCTCAGTGAACCTTCCTACTCCAATTTATGACTTTGTTTTTACTTGAAAGACAACTTCATTTTAGACTTGCGTGTTTTATTTCAATTCCAATGTTTATATTAGAGACTTGTGTACGTGACAACCTAGTTTTGGGAATTGTATTAAGTTGACTTTTTTTCGTAATAGAATTTTTTGTTGGACTTTTGGTTATTTCCGCACTTTGTTAGATGTTGGATTTAGGCTGACTTGCCTTGGTGGGATAAGACGAGTACCATCACACCCATTTTTGGGTTGTGACGTCTTTGTTGGATATTTTTTTATTGACGACAATTGATGTATCTATTTAATTAATTAAATATTAAGTAAAAGTTATATTTAAATTCATGCATCAAATAAGATCTTAATGCATCATATATTCATGTACTAATTAAATGTAGATAATGAAGAGTCTAATAACCTTTCAATTTAATTTGTAAGATAAGTTAGGGTATGAAGAGTCTATCAAACACACTCATACCACATTATATATACTTCTTGTTTTACTCAAGTTTGTAATCATCTTGCATCCTACAGTAGGTTAGTCTACATCTCTTGTAAAATTTTCGTTATCAGTTTGTAATTATAAGAACTCTTACTATTTTATTTATTTGTATTCTTTAAATTTCATGCATATTCATCTTCTTTTTGCTGAGAAATATGTAAATTATGATAGTTACAAGATGAATATACTCCAATATGAAGTTGTAAGTAAATATTTATTTTTCACATCTCCATCGTTTTGAGTGTTTAAATATAATTTTGTAGTTGATTACTGTATTTTTGTAGTCATCCTTTCTTCTATTTTTAGGATATATATAGTAAAGCTAATCACATTTTGTATTTATCATTACTTATTTTGAGGGTAAACATGTTAAATTCCATAGAATAATATTTATGTCTTTTTCATTGTTTGATCATCATTTATCTTTTTAAACCAACATGTTTGTACTTTTTCCTGTTTATATGTAATCTCAAATGTTCAAAAAATTCATGTACTTAACTGTTATAAAAAGGTACAAAATAAGTGCAAAAGTAAAAATGAAATAAAAAATAATGTATAGTAAAAAATGACTAGATGATACATTGAATAATATTATTTTAGAATTCATTTATCACTTATATATACTTTAATATATAGTTCAACAAATATAGTTTATCTTTGTTCTTAACATATTCATGACTTCTAATCTGTTTGTCTTATTTATTAGGCCAAAGTCATCTCTGGCCCCTTAAAGTTGTCCTCATTATTCATTTAGACACCTCAATTTAACCTTTTACCTATTGAACACTTTACTTATACAAAATTTTTCGTATTAGACACATTTTGATAATCAACAAAAAATATCAAGTGTGTATGATGCACTTGCCATGACATGGAAAACTAATTAATTAAAAGAAGTCACGTGTCTTAAATCTGTCTTTTGTGCTTGAAAATAATTAAAATTAAAAAAATAAAATCCTAGTATGTTTGTTCCTGCCTCAGCTCATACCTGCTCCCCCTCTTCCCCCACCCCACCCCAACTTCATCTTCTTCCTCCTTTTTTAAAAAAAAACACTTAAATCACCTAAGTTTTTCTACTTTTTTTATCTAATTAATGTTTTATTTTTAAGCTTAGATTCAATTTATGTTTGAGTTGATTTGGCATAAAGAAAAAGACGATTGGTGGCATTGTTTTCTAATGAACAAATTAAAATTTGTAATTGATTGTTTGAAAAGCTAAAAATAAAAAAAGATATTGACGATGATAAATTTGGGAAAAAATGAGGAATGAGGTGGTGTTCAATGGTTGGTAAAAAAGGGGAAAGAAGATAATGGTCTGGAAAAAAAAAGGGGAAGAAGATGACCAAAAAAATAAAGAAAAAGAGCATTGTGGATATGGTAACGCATATTTAATTAAAAAACAAGGTGGCATAAAGAAGAAGAATGATTGCAGCTCGAGAAAAAATGGAATGTACTTTAATGGTGGGACACTGGTGATTGTGGTGGTGAGAATGTTGTTCCAATGGTGGTTGAGTCAAAGAAAAAGATGAAGAGATGCTAATTTTATTTTATTTTTTAAAAAAAAGAATTTTTT